CGACTCTTAATCCTTGTCTGAATATCAAAAATGTTCTTTGTCTACACCCTTTTCTTCATACGTCCTCTTCCTTTTCACTCCTCTATTTTTTTTGGCCGGCGGTTTTTGGGGGACCATACTGCCCCCCTGGCTACGCGCCTGCGGTCAGATGAACATATTACGTTGATACCTTGTCCGCCCCCGGAAGGTCAGGGGTTTAAGGTAATAATTTCCGGTCAGATTAGCACTCAGGGGTCCGCCTTAGGGCCCTAGGCGGGGTCCAGAGGGCAGAGCCCCGGAAGTTTAGGGGTTTTAGGCATTTAATTACGGTCAGATGAGCATTATTTTGATACCTAATTGTGACACTGGCAGGTCCCTAATTGGCGTGGGGTTCAGGGGTCGGAGCCCTTGGAAGCCCAAGGGTTTTAGGCACTCAATTACTCTACCTCATCGTATGGGAAATGTTGTTTCCACAGAGTTTTTGGATAATCTAATTACAAAAATAATGATAGCATTCAAAAGAGTGCGTTTCTATCTACTAGTGGGTGTTTTTAAAGTTTTTAATTTAGGCACAGGCTTTGGAGTTATAGTTTAATGGATTTTGTCTGATATTTTCTTGGGTTATGTAAAATGGATTTCAAGTTTAAAGATAATAGTCACGTTTGTATAGAACTCCTATGTGTCTAAACGCCTTACATATTACCCCGATCATTGGATTCCATTGCTAACAAAAAGTCGTGTATAGGTTTACTAGGAGATCCTCTCCGAAGCCGCTATCAATGTTATTGGAGACAGTCGAGTTATGGTACGTTGTTCCTTAATCATGGTCTATATAGCTTTTTGAGCAAATGCTGAACCGTGTATAATATTTTGATTATGATCTACGCGTAAAAACACATACACATATCAACATACAATTTAACTCGTGATTAAAATGTGGATTTTCTATACCTTCACATTTTGTCTCATTTACATATAGATAGAACTTTTCTTGGCCACAGAAACCAACTCTCCTTTGAACACAAGTGCAATATGGTATTACTTTATCTCCCACGTCATTGATGGTTAGGTGGTTATTTTACCTGACTGCTTAAAAAGCATAAATGCTTGTAAGTAAGCAACCAGACGGCCGACCAGGCGCGGATCCAGGATTTCTTAGAGGGGCCCAAATTTGAAATTATGCAAGCCAAATATTGGTACGTAATGGTGACCAGCAGTGATGTAATTGGGGGGGGGGGGGGGGGGGGGGTGGGTGCAGGGAGGGACGAGTTTTCCCCCTCCCTCCTTCGCGAAGCGCGGAAGCTTTGACATTTCAATAAATTATTAGAGATGGGAGACGATTCGTTGTACCGTTCCCAAAAATAATCCTCGTCTAAATTATGTTCCCCCCCCTCACGCGGAAGCTTTTACGTTTCATTAAATCATTAGAGAATGAAGACGATTCATTGTGTCGTTATCGACTCTTAATCTTCGTCTAAATTCAGGTTCCCCCTCTCGCGCGAAGCGCGGAAGATTTTACGTTTCATTAAATTATTAGAGAAAGAAGATGAATCGTTGTAACGTTTTCGACTCTTAATCCTTGTCTGAATTTCAAAATTTTCTTTGTCTACTCCCTTTTCCTTTTAACTCCTCTCTTTTTTTGGCCGGCATTTTTGGGGGACTACCCCACTGCCCCCCTGGCTACGCGCCTGCGGTCAGATGAACATATGTTGATACCTTGTCCGCCCCGGAAGCTCAGGGGTTTAAGGCAATAATTTATGGTCAGATTAGCACTCAGGGGTCCGCCTTAGGGCCCTCGGCGGGGTCCAGGGGCAGAGCCCCCGAAGTTCAGGGGTTTTAGACATTTAATTACGGTCAGATAAGCATTATTTTGATACCTAATTGTGACACTGGCAGGTTACTAATTGGCGTGGGGCCCGCCTTAGGGCTCTTTGTCGGGTCCAGGGGGCAGAGCCTCCGGAAGTTCAGGGGTTTTAGGTGTTTAATTACGGTCAGATGAGCATTTTTTGATACCTTATTATTTTGTGACACCGGCAGGAAACTATTTGGCGTGGGGTCCAGGCGGCAAAGCCCACAGAAATCAGGGGTTTTAGGCATTAAATTACCAACAGATGAGCATCTAAGGGCCCGCCTTAGGGCCCTAGGTGGAATCCAGGGGGCAGAGCCCTCGGGGTTTTAGGCATTTAATCATGGTCAGATGAGCATATTTTGATACCTCATTATAATGTGACACTGGCAGTTAACTATTTTTTTTCTTTCTTGCTCTCTTTCTTTCTTTTTCTCTTTAATATACTTTTTCCAAAAAGTGGGTAGTGGGGGGGGGGGGGGGGTGGGGGTTCGAGGATCCCGATCCCCGCCGTTCCGCGAGCCCTGACATGTAGGCATCTCAAGAAGCATTTCCTTGCCTGGGTGTAAATTTAGGAGTTTGTCATTTTCCAACAAATGCATAAAAAAGTATAATATACTTAAAAATATGTCATTTCAGCATTATTTGTAAATCACCGTTATGGAATTAGAAATAAACCACGTTTGAATTTTATTTCCCCAAAGCCCCCCCCCCCCCCTCCCCTATCAGTACGCCAGTGCCCCCCCCCCCCCGATCTACACCTTGTTAGCGGGAAAATTGCAACTGATATCCCTTACCTTTCTTCATTCTCTTTCTTTTTCTTTCCCTTTCTCTCCTCTTTTCCTTTCCCTTCCCTTCCTTCTTTCTCTTTTATGTTTGCTGGAGGAGGGCAAGGTCATTTTGGCCCCACCCCGCTCCACACATTGTTGGCGGGATTAACCGCAACTGATCTCCCTTTCTTTTCTACTTTTTCTTTCTTCTTCCTCTTTTTTGTTCCCTTTTAGCTCTCCTCTTTTAAGGCAAGGGCCTTTTGTCCCCCCCCCCGATCCACAATCTGTTGGCGGGAAAATTGCAACTGATATCCCCCTTCTTTTGTTTTCTTCTTCCTCTTTTTTCCTTCCCTTTATCTCCTCTTCTTCTTTTATCTTTCCCTTTCCTTCCTTCTATTTTTATTTTTTGATTGGGGGGGGGGGGGGAGGCAACAGCCTGGGAGGCAAGTCCTTTTACCCCACCTCCCCGATCTCCTTCATCCCTCTTTTCCTTTCTTCTTTGTCTTCTTTTTTCCCCTTTCTCTCCTCTTTCCCTTTCCCTTCTTTTCCCTCTCTCTGTCTCCTTTTTTTTTTGCGGGGGGGGGGGGAGGGGGGCCAAGGCCCGCTCGGCCCCCCCCCCCTGGATCCGCGCCTGCTTAATCCCTCAGTTGGACTTAACAATTATGGAAAGCCGTTGGCATCTATGAGAATATTTTGTAAAAGTTATTCTAAAAGGCATAAAATGTTGATTCAAATCATTAATATTTTCTATTACCAACAGGTATGTCATGTTCTTGATGTGGAATTTATAAAAAATTTAAAATACTTGAGTTTTCGCTTTTAAATATATTTGATTTTAAGGCTACAAATGGCTCTCCATAATTTTTCAGTCCAATTAAGAGTTAAGTTCGACTTGGATCTTTGTGAAGCACCCCCCAGGAGCTTCCTCTACGCTGATGATCACTCCATCGCCACCCAGAACCAGTCTTTCGTGAAACTGGAGGAGTCCCTCAGCGATGCCTAGCTGGCCGGACTCATCCCATACTGTGGCCCCACCACACATCGGAAGGTTGGTCTTGACAATGACTAACAAGAAACCAATCGACTCCATCCACTCTTCTAACAACAGCCATGCAGTGGGCAAGCGGATCAAATCCAGACACAGCTTCCTGTACACTGTAGAGCCTCTTAATACCAGCCCTCACAACCAAAGGATGACATTGTAGTCTAACCATCTCCAGACCACTCATAAACTCTCCCTCAGCCCCAAAGAATCCCTTGCATCAGGCTCCAGCGATTTCATAATGCTACCAAGAAAAGTAAGTAAACATTAATTTTGTGTGAAGATCTCTGATTTGATCACTAACTTAGTTGGCCCTCTGTACCGTCACAACCACTGAACTCTAACACCATGTGGAATGGGCGTCACGGCTGAGTGCACGACACCGGTGCCTTTGTCTGCTATTTTGCTTCCCCCAGAAAACACTCCTCATCGAAGCAGGCCTGCATACACGTGTCAAACAAATGTGTATGTGTGTAAGAGGGGGGGGGGGGGGGGGGGGGGGGGGGGTTATAAAGTAATGTAATGACAAAAATGTATTGTTTTATAATTTCAATAAAATCACATTAATGAATATAGAGAGGTGTCATGGACGAGTGGATATGTCACCGGACTGTGGATCATTTGCCACTCTCCACCCAGGTGTTAAATGGGTACTTGGTAGGATGCGAAAGTTAATGTGGTTGGATTAGCAAGTGGCGCTTGCAAAATGGCGACTGGCTAGATTGCTCCCCAGGGAATGGAAATTGTGCATACATTGTGTTGCGGGTAAGCCTGTATCCGATTATAGGGTTAATAATAGGTGCTGCGCACAGAAACAAAGTATTAAGCGCATTATAAATGTGAGCTATTATTCTTATTATTATTATATTATGACATGCTACATCATGAAAAACAAAAAAAATACATCGTGACTCGCAAAATTGCTATTATTCTGAGGAGCATAAATTAAATTGCATGCACATGTGCACAAAAAGTAAGTTTGTTGTGAGCATAAACTTGAACTTGAAATGAAATTAATATTTTGGTGTCTAAATTCTCATCTCAATATGTTATGAAATGGCAGAAGAAAATGAGATAAAGCAAGTGCAAAAGATAGTAAGAGAAATGTTGAAAACAAGAGAAAAAGGGAAAGACGGAGGGAGAGAGAGAGATAGAGGAAGAGAGAGAGATAGAGGAAGGAAGAGGAAGGAAGAGAGAGAGAGAGAGAGAGAGAGAGAGAAAAAGAGATGAGAATAACAAGGTGCAAACAATATTTTGATGACAATTGAAAAGTAAAATACTATTTAAGCTTTGGGGAAAACTCAAAATTATCTTAATTAAAAAACAAAAATCACACACAAAAATGTGAAGTACAGCTGAATTATAAGTTCGCTACATATGTATAATTTATTTCAAATTTGTTTATCAATTTGTTAATGTGTTGAAAATACACATGTTCATATTTATTAGTTATAATCTATACTATATACAAATATACATATCACAAACTTTGAAATGAAAGACTTGTCTTGAAAAATTACTTCTTCCCCCACCCCATTACCACCCACTCCCCCCCCCCCCCAAAAAAAAAAGGTGCAAACTGCTTTCTAATATTAATCTTTACTAGCACAGTTTTCTTTCAAAACATAATATTCAATTCAATTCAATTCAATTATTGAATAAATAGGCTTTAATATAGAGTAGAGGTAAAGTGTAGAATCAAATATTGGTTTGTTACATATATTTGGTCCTTTGCTTCCTGAAAGACTCTAACATTCATTGATATTAAAAAAAAAGTTGGATTTCAGCTTGAATTACAATAATTTCATGAACAATTTGTTCTTTTTCCTAGAGATTTGTGGAAATATATGCCCTCAAAGAGGACAGCACATCAATTTCAACATAATGTAATATGAAGACAATTAAACTACATTTTTGATACTTTTTCACACCACATTGGAAGTACCGGTAATATGGACGGAATAGGGCATGGTCCCAGAGTAATGTAAACTACTTTCCATATTAGTGATAAATACCCATACAAAATATAATGAAATGATCCATTTCAGCTCCCTTTTATATATGCACACAGTAAAATCAGAGCAGTAATTTTTTTTTAGATGTAGTACATCATGCACAGTTTGATGCATATACATTGGCAAACAAAGTATTTGCCCTTTATCATACATCCAAGTACATAGAAGGGACTTTGTTCCACATTCAAACAAAGAGTAAAACAGATTTCTGAAAACAGATGAACTAGTTGTCCAACTATAGATTCAATAAATGTATTACAGTATGGATATGCATGTACATGTATATATACAAAGAACAATTTACAACTTCATGTTTGCATGCCATCAAAAGATGATTATTATTTTATTTATAAAACTTAAAAATTTGAAAGGAACTTGGATTGTGCCAAATTGTCCCCTCTCTCATGTTACCATAACTTTCAGATCTCCAGCTTGAGAATTTGTTATTTAAAAAAAAAAATTCTTCAACCCTTATGGAAGGCATGTTCACATATGACCCCAGTAAACCGCTGGCGCTGTGGTGTACCCTAAAGATTTGTTAACATGTGGATAAATGTATGTTGCAACATACAGAAATGTGAAGTGCTTATTTAACCCTTACTGTATAGGACATGGTTTAATTTTAGGGCTATAAATTTATCAAGTAATGTTCTTATAATTGGCAACAATGTTTATTGCTACGTTCTTTAAAAAAAAAAGTAAAGTTACTGAAAACAACACACATGGGTGAGTGTGAACAATAAAAGAACTTCCTGATATCGCCATCATGCATGCAACAGAATCTCTACCTGTTCATGTCAGTAAATCATATTTCAGGAAGAGTGCGGTACTTGCGGAGGGATTGAGGTACATGAGCACGTCTATTATGATCCCTCCATCTTGAATGGCCATAGTCATCGGTCAATCCTAGCATGTCCAGCTGGTCATCCATACCTAGCTGTCTTCGGAGTCTTCGGATCTCATCTTTGTATCTGATCAATCAGAAATAGATTACATTCAGAATCGATCATCATCAATAGTGATATGTCAGTTTATGACGGGTTCAGTGACCCAATCAGGATTCTACATTCAGTTTTCAGTTTCAGTTTCAGTTTATTTTCATATTTCACATGTTTCATTACATTTGGCATGTTACATTTTGTACTCATTTTAGGATGCGTTTATAGAAACAAAAAGAATAATACATAAGACTACATTGTATAGAGGAAGAAATATGATGAAGTCTAAAGATAAAGCAATGCTTGTAGGTCATAGGCTCCAAAAGTTATAATAGTCTTGTGTATATTAAAAAACGTAATTGAATTAAAGTGTCTCTCCAAGTATCTCGGTCGTAAGCCATCCGTTTCAGCATTTCATATCATGTTGATCCACATTCTGTAATTAATTCATCCAGAGAGTCTTTACGGGGTCTTCCCCTCTTCTTCTTTCCATATGGACGACCTTCTAGGACTCTTGATACTGAACTTATTTAAATTTCATATCAGTTCAATATCAATTCATTCATTCAGATCAGTTCATATTAAAGTTAATCATGTCAAATTCTAACGTACCCAACACATCACCCATACCTAGCTGTCCCTCCGTTCCCTGATCTCATATCTGTACTTGATCAGAAAAAAGATCACAATAAATAACAATTTAATTCTTACTGATTCAAATCAGATCAATACACTTCAATAAATTAAATTATTAAAAAATGAATGTACTTCAAAACAGCAAATGCATTTAACTCCAGGTCAACATAACAGTTACAAATGTAATTCAAATGCATCCATTTTAAATTTCTAAGAATTTAATCTAAATCACTATATTCAATGCAATATAAAATGATAACGTACACTACCATCATTTTAGTTTATATTGATTAGATTCCACTGTACTAAATCTTTACAAGTCCATCCAATTCACCACCACACCATCTCTGCATGCAGTCAAAGCTAAGAGCTCCGACTCAATGAATCTAAATTAGAGAGTAACATTTATTAATTCCTCTGACCCTAAAGCGTTTATAGCAGTAAATCAACGAGATTCAGGGCAACTTCATTATTAATTTCATGTGTGAGTTCAATTTACCTTGTCATGTGTGTATGTATGTAATCCTGGCACTCATTGAGTTGTTCTTCTAAGACAGAGTTGTTGGCAAGGAGATTGGCTCTCTCAGATTCTAGGTCCTTCTGCAAAATCAAAAAGTGAGAAATCCAACATATCAAGGGTTCAGTGACACAAAGACTTAACTCCATATTTTGTCAAAATGGGTATTTGATATCAAAATGTTCAGAAAAAATGCTCAGAGAGTTTTAGGGTGAGGGAAAATGCAAAGCATTGCATAACTGATTAAGGCATGTTGGTCATAAAACTGCAGGCTAATTCTGGTGATTGACAACACCTGTTATTGCATGGGTAAACACCCGAACAGTGTCAAATTCCCCATGAGAGCCCACTCCTATGCATCTTTAACCTATTGACCACTGAATTATCTGATTCCCATAGCTTCAGTACATGAGCCAACTGGTTCCTGTAGGCAGTGGGTTATAGAATGAAAGATATCCTTTATTTTGGTGATCCAGAAATCAGGCATTGTGGCATGCGCCTGCAATCCAGCTAAGAATGGAAGTTACAAACTGATTCAGCCGAGGATGCAAGTTCGAAACTGAGTCACGTCTTTGGGATGGTGACGTTTAAAGGTCAGTCCCCAGACGTAAATAATCATATCTGATTGATACACGTCTGTAGAAAACCCAATACACGCACACACGGACACTACAGTGTCATGTCAAATAAAATCTGTACCTTCGGTGTGCTTTATAAGTGTGTCTAATTAAAAGGAATACCTACCTGCGTTCTGAGAAACTCGTCCTTCAAAGACTTCCAGTGCTCATCAGATGATCTGGAAAAGGAGAGATTTTGAAGTTTTAGTAAAGAATAGGCAACATCAGTTTAGTTTATCTACATGTTGAACAAGAGATCTGGGTCTTCAGATGCCATCACAATCTATTATACCAAAAAAAATCATAACAAAAGACAAATTCATAACATCACACCTTTTGGGGGGAAATTTGTTGTAACGAGTAGGCCCCGGATTCAAAACCAATTCAATGTGCTAGTGCTCTTTGGTAAAGTATCAATCCTCATTACCTAGTCCCTCATTGTTTATTTGCAAGCATATTATCATCAAATAGTATCAATATGCAGTTCTTAGAAATACCAACCCAAATTCAAATCGCATGTGGTCAATACTGTCTTTTTTCACAATCTTTCAAGATAAATTTGAAAATAATTTTTCAACAATAAACCCCCTTATGTAGGGGAAAATATGAATAACTCTGACTGTTACGACACACTGGCTTTAAAGGCATCGTTTAACAATGTTAAATCTGAGAAGCATGGCCCTACATGTTATCAGTGTCTCTGATATGGAGTAATATTGAAGCCCTAAAAAATTGCACTTCAAAATGATCAAGAAGTGCCTCAAAAACTAAAAATATTCGAGTGAACGGTTTTACCATGATCATTTTTCCCAATAGACTGTAGTGTTATAGAGAACGTTTAATAGGGAAACAAGTTTTTCAATTTCAATTCCCAATCATAAACATCTTGATAATCAGACAGAAAATTGGCTTGTAAAAGTCATGGGATTCATGTATGACCTAAAGGTTTATAATTTTGATTGCAGCACGAGCTAAATCCAGGATTTATTTGAGAATCTGAGGCAAAGTTACCCAATCCCTTTAAAGTGACAACCGGTATCTTTTCTTCATCACCTACCCTTCTCTCCTGATTTTGTTAAGTTCTGTCTCTGTTTCTCGGAGTTGTTTCATCACTTTAGTGAGTTCTCTTCTGTTGATGGACTCCACTTCTTCCACATCTAAGGTCAGCTGATCTTCTTCCGGACCAATCTCCATTCCAGGAAGGTGCTTCTCCATGGTCCGCTGTCTCAGAAGTCTGCATTGTGGAGAGAAATTTTCACCCATTATGTTTTTAATGCACACCCAAACAGAAAATGTGACTGAGGGTAAAAACCGATAACAAAATGGAACAGAAATTTACCCCCAAAATGGCACCAAAAACGAGACAAAGAGTTAAAAACTTTGAATCTTAGCCCGCAGTGACTTAGCTGAAACACTCAAGATGGCTGAGAGAAAGAGAGAGGATGATTATGTGTGCGTGCACTCCGTGCATAAGCTGGAGGTTGGCGGGATTCCAGGGGGGGGGGGGATGCAGGGTTGTAACTTTCTTATTCTCGGTGGTCTGCTTTGTCTAGAGGTAGATACATTTATTTTTTTAGGTAAATATCTAGATATCCGGTAGCTTTTTACAGTGCTTGGAATTTGTCACGTATAATCATCTTTGAAAATAGCAGGCGATTTGATGCTATTGTCATGTCCATAGAAGTTTAATACCACGGTTTTCATTTTTGAAAAATGTCCCATCATGCAACTTAAACAATCTAAACTATTTTTTAAATCTCTTTGTGTTAGAAGAGGCAAAAGTTAATCAAGAGTTACATACATGTACAGTGGCTAATTGAACAAAATACAAAATTGATCATTTGTAAAAATGGAAATGACAAACAGATGCATCATGGTGTACTTTCATAGTTTCATTTTTTTAAACCAACGCTACTGGCACCGAATCACAAGACCAGACCTACCTGTACTCTACAAGGAGTTGTTGATGTTTCTTAGCCACCGCATCAGCAGTGCGTTTGTACTCCCTCGCTGCGTCGCTGAGCTGAGATTCTCTCGCCTGATATGTCAGCTTTAGGTCCTTCATCATGGCAGCTATCTGGCCTCGTAGCCCGTCCCCTGCATCCTGACTTGATAAAGACCTCTGACTTTTATCAATGTGATCCTATAAAAAATAATGGAGGATGTAACATTCAATATTACTGGAATATACATGACATAAATAATCAGTGATGAGAGGAAGTAGTAGGACAGTAGTGTTTTAATGATGTAGCTAAGATGGATAGAGAGACATTCATTTCTACTCCTGGGCATCTTGGAATGCAAATATCTTTTCAATGACCTAAAAGAGATCCTGACAAAGTGAAACATTGTAAAAAAAAAAAAATGTCAAATATCCTAAAACAATATATTTGACATTACAAATCAGAAATGTGTTTTAGGAAAAGAATATTCAAACTTCTTTGAAGGGCTTATTTGGCAAATAATTAAAAAAAAGGAAAATTTAAAAATCCTGTAATTGGCACCCTGGCACTATAAATGTGGTATTTTTCATTCTCTCTATTTATTGAGAAAAATACCATAAGGTTATGAGATTAAAAGTAGTATTTATGATTAATTGAAGCCAATTTTGATAATAGTATAAGGCAAAGTACGGAGGCAAATGGATTGCATGTTATAAGAGTTAAGATGTGCTAAAAAAAATAATGCATAGATATTTGTAAATGAAACTAAATGCAGGTCTCAATCATTTCCTACTGTGTGCAAACTCTTGTAGAAAATCCTGTAGGATAACCTACCGCAATATCTTGGAGGTACTTGACAAGTCTGGCTCTCACTTCTTCATTCTTCTCCTTCATCTGAAGCTGTAGTTTACTATTTGTAGACTGCAGTTCCTTAGACTTGGATCGCAGCGTCAGTAATGCCTGAGATAAATTGTAGAATGAAAGTAATATTAGTGCTGCAAATAACTATTAAAGGCCGGCTGTACCAGTTTGGCCGGGAGGGATTAGACCACACAGTGTGGTCAGTGACAGGTGGCTATCTCATCAACTCAGCTCTCAATTAACGTGAGAAAAAGAGGATCATGGGGGACCAACAGGCACCGATTAGGCATTGTTTTCTATATAGAGGGAGCAAGAAGCTACAAGTAGGACAGTGGGGCTTTAAAGCAATGACAAGTATAAAGATATTATCAATTAATGAACATAAAAATGAATTTGCCTATAATTTGTTGGGTTACAATTTGAAAGAACCTTGTCAACACACAAAGCCTGATCTGAAAGTGTATAGAACGTTGTCTGTGGATTTCTACAAAAATGACAGATTTTCCTTGCTGTTGTGCAAGTACGTACTGAAGCACTTCCATATGATGTCAGTTTCACAAGGTCTTTTGAGACAATGCTTATTCATGGACATCAGTTAAAGATAAACTTTAGTACTGGTAATGCGATTGCATTGTGAAAGAAAAGGTGTGGAAAGGATCAGAAACAGTTGATCATGTAGCATGTAAGTATTGGTGTGCACTGCAAGGTTCTGGAGTCATCAAAATCATAATAAATTTGACCGAGTCTTGGTAAAGTAACAAGCACATACACAGAAAGCTATGTATGGGACAACACGCATGGTGTCGGGGTTGGTACTACCTTGATTCCTTGTCTTTCTATGCTCATTACTCAGTCAGTATACATTTTCTTCCAAAATTGTTTGGCACATGTCATTTATTTGTAATCTTCAACATTCAGTGTAAGTTTCGTTTGATTCTGTGAGAAATAATTTTTTTTTTTTACCAGTACTCAACCTTCTCTTTAAGATAGCAATAGCAAGTATAGCAAGTACATAGCAATGGCAAGTATAAAGATATTATCAATTAATGAACAAAAAAAAATGAGTTTGCCTAGAATTTGTTGGATTACAATTTGAAAATACCTTGTCAATACACAAAGCCTGATCTGAAAGTGTATAGAACGTTGCCTGTGGATTTCTACAAAAATGACTGATTTTCCTTGCTGTTGTGCAAGTACGTACTGAAGCACTTCCATATGATGTCAGTTTCACAAGGTCTTTTTGCGAGGATGCTTATTCATGGATATATTACGTCAGTTAAGATACTTACAACTTCGGCTTCAGTGAGCTTACGATGGGTCTCTCTGTCAGCCTGCCTCATATTCTGGACGTCTTGGTTTAACTGAGAACTGAGAGAAAAGGAGAAAAGGAATGAAAATATTAAACAGACAAACAGGAAGAGAGAAAATGATAGGTGGATGGAGAAGGGAAGGATACTCTACATCATCATGACTGTCATCTTCATCACCATTACCATCATCATTACCACTACCATTATCATCATCATTACCACCACCACCACCACAATCATCATTACAGGGCTCGACTTTATCGGGAGCCCGGTGGCCATTGGCTCCCTGAAACCCCTGCGGGCTCCCTGAAGAAGTGCTTGAGGAGCCCGGCTGGCTCCCTAAGTTTTTCTAGTATCAGCCACGAAAAATGCTGTTTCTTACCAGCACTTTAATCCATGTTTTAATCCATCTAAAAACCCAAATTCCGCAGTCAAAATCATGAAATATGCGCTAGGCATTCCAAGGCACACTTGGCTCAACTCCAGCGCGAATAATGAGTTGCAAAAGAAAACACATCGAGATCAGTGCAGGAATGCCATGCATGATAACGTTATATCTCCGCACTCGTAACGAGTGCGCAATACATGCTGCATTGTATGTCGGTGCACTCAGAGAATGTAAAATTATGTTCAAACAAGTGCGCAATACATGCTGCATTGTATGTCGGTGCACTCAGAGAATGTACACACTAAGACAAACGCACGTGGTCGCTGCGTTGCCAGAGCTGAGTGTATGTTTACGTCGACTCGTGTTTGTGATACATGTGCGTTTGTGATCGTGAGTGCTTATTCTTCAGCGTGCATACCTGGATGGACTTGATTATTGTTTGAACATAATTTTACGAACTACAAACTTCAAAGGCGTGTGCAAAAAGGGGTTGATTGTTGTTTGTGAACATATGTACGAATTAGGGAGATTCGTGGCTAATCGTTAAAACGGCGTGTATAAACGGTCAAAGGGACTGAAAAGAATAAAATATGGAATAAAAAAGTTTGACTTGAATGTCGTTGGACTAACTTAACGGCAATCAATAAATGAATTTATTATTTCTTTCATATGTTTTCGCAAGGTTTGTGTACTACTATAAACTGTTGTGTGTTTTTTTCTTACAGTTTATGTATTTCACAAAATGTTTTTATTGTAAACTGAAAGTAATTTAGCCTTCCATGGGTTGGCTGTCATATAGTAATACGTCATTTGATTAATTAAAAAAAAAAAAAGTATTTGACTATTTCAATCACGTTTCGTCTGCTATTACGACTGAGCTTTTATTTGCAAGATTTCATTCATGAAAACAGTGAGTCACGTCGACACTTTCAACATAGTGCCTGTGTTGTTTGGTAACGATTGCATGAGAAATATAATCAATGACTATATCTGATTCTCATTCTGATAAAACCTAAAGTCCAATGTTAGACTGTTACTGTAGCCAAAGGGCTTCATAATAGTTGTAAGATTAATTCTTCAGTACAGTCAGTTAATCCTCATGGTCAAATTTACACTTAATAATACACCCCTCCCTGGTCCCGGCGCTGATGATTATAAAAAAAGGTATCGTGACGGTGTGTTTTAATTTTTTAATAGTTAATGACCATTATTATGACCACAAAAAAACGTGATAAACTTGGGCTCCCTGAAACCCCTGCGGGCTCCCTGAAAAAGTGCTTGAGGAGCCCGGCTGGCTCCCTAAAAAAAAAGTAAAGGTCAGGCCCTGCATTACCACAGCCATCATCGTCATCATCACCAATATCACTACCACAATCATCATCAACACCACCACCATTATCATCATCACCTTTATAACCACCATTATCATCACCATTACCACAACAATCATCATCATTATCGTCAACATCATCAACACCGTCGTCATTATCATCATCATCATCATCACCACCTTCATCATCATCACACCTGTATAATCACCATTGCCACAACCATCATCATCATTATCGTCAACATCATCAACACCGTCGTCATCATCATCATCATCATCATCATCATCATCAGCAGCAGCAGCAGCAAAAGCATCATCATCCTGCACACTTTTCTCTAACTTGATGCTTACATGATGCCTTGTAGTTTGTCTTGTTCATTGTCGTAATGACTCTTCATTTGATCAATCTCACCACGGAATCTATCCTGGTTCCCAAACAGCTGTCAAATTGTACAATAGGGATGAAAGATGAATCATTGTTAAAGCCCCTCTGTATTAGTCCGGCAGGGGGGATTAGACCACCCTGCAAAGTCACTGACAGGTGGTTATCTCATCAAATCAGCTCTCATAACATACAAAAAAGTGGATCATGGGGGACCAACAGGCACCGATAAGGCATTGTTTGCTGTATAGAGGGCGCAAGTAGCTTTAAGTAGTGCAGTGGGGATTTAAAGGTACTATGTCCCTTTTGCAGCCAACCTCAAATTCTGTAAAACTTTGCAGGAATTATGAATATGTCATGTATGTCCTATCTGTGAAATTTAAACGTTAGCAGTGTCCTCATATTCAAATTATGCAAGGAAACACGTTTACTTGCTAGACTTCACTGTCAGACACTATTGAGTGACTGACTGGCTTTTTTCTTCTTTGGTAATAACACACATGAAAAGAGTTGTAAAGGGTACATGAGCATTAATGTCTACATCAATAACCCACTTCCTGTGATGGCCAAGATTAAACTGATTGAATCTTTGCGCAGCATAAAACGTATGACCTTTCGATTATTGTCTGAAAATCAAGACTATTAATTTTGGGCTCTATAGCCCTAAAGTCGATTTGACGACTAATAGTCGTTATTTTAGAGGGTGGGTAACTTGGCATCTACTGGTATGTGAATCTTTTTCTTTACAAATGTCAGTGTACTTGACCTCCCCATACCATTTTATCAAGAGTATGAATTACATAACTAGTCCCACTTGTAAGAGGCCATCTCCTCAAGTTTTTCAAGAAATACTTGTAATGATCTTTAGAGGACAGCAGTTCTTTGTACTACTTCGTGATCCATGTGGCTTCTCATTGTATTTCTCAAAATTATTTTGCTAGACCACGGATATGCTATAGCATCAACCATCATATAGGTTAGCATGATACACTTACATGTTGTCTTAGATCATGTCTATCACTGTCAGTTGCAGCAACCTAAGACAAGAAGAGATAAGTGAAGAGATACAATAATACAAAGACAGCCTTATAGGACGGAGTGTAAACACACACGTTTTCCCTCTTCAGTGTTCATATGATATGAAGGACATACATGTAGTGTTTTGACTTAAATACTGTTGGCATATATTGTAGGTATTTTTCAAGTTCCCTGTTGCATTTTGTAAGTTGACTTCAAGACATCATTGAGATGTCAACCCAGAGATGCCAACCTCTTGACACAAAAAAACAGATTGAGTACCGGATTTTGGAGAGAAAAATCAGATTTTCACGAAAAACTCAACACTACCACTGGCCTGTCGGCCATGGGCCAGTAACATTTCTGAAAAGTGTTTTACTGGTAAATACGGTCAAGTTAATTGTTAGCTCTTTCATTAAAATTTAATGAGAAAATTGTAAAGCAAACGTTTTGTTGGGGTTGCAGGGGTTTACTTGTACATGTTTCTATGCGATTCCGCTGTTTTTATGGGTTTGTTGAAAAATCATATTTTAAGATTTTAAGATCGTATTTCACTCTTATTATCGTACTAAATAAGATTTAATCGTACTGGTTGACATCTCTGTCAACCACTTGCAGAACTACATGTCATGTTCAACAATTTCTTAGAATTTATTTAGAAAAACTTGATAGCAGAAGCAATGAGGAAATCACTGCAAAGGAACTACTGTCTGTTAGATTGTTTTACCTTTTGTCTTTCAGCTGATAGCCCTAGAGCAATGTCCCTAACCCTAGAGAGATCATCACTGCCTGCATTCCTAGCCTGGCCTGCAGCTAGTCCTAGGTTATCTCTCTGCTTCAACAGGGTGACTTCAGCATTCATCAGGTTCAGCAGCTCAAGACCAAGCTGCTGGTTTCTTGCAACCTACAAGAAGGAATTCAATACAAATTCCAAGACTGTATTGTGATGATCTGGGCCCCGTCTTACAAAGAGTTATGATTGATCCAAATCAATCGCAAGTCCTCCAATCAATCGCAAGTTTGCAGTCTCCTATCTGTTATGTACATAGTTCGCAAATAAGTTGCGATTGATATCAACTCTTTGTAAGACGGGGCCCTGTATATAAACTGATAGAAATTAGTCATGTACTAAAAAAAAGCTTAGCAAAATCAAAGCACAAGAGGAATATTCGCAAGTTCTCAAATTCCATTTATCCCACTACTTTGATTTTGATTGTAAAGACCATTCAAAAGACCAAGAGATATGAAGAGTTTAATTCCATAAGGAGCTAAATCCATTTTTGAAACTTCTGAGAAAAAAGGACTTGTTCACCAGATTTTGTATATATGCGTCTATGGAAAAGTGATGTTAGCAGGTGCATTATTTCATAATTGCTCCCCAAATTTAGGTACATATTTTTTTTAGAAAGACCGGTACTTAAGTGAAATGTTCTGATATCAATAACTCAAATTTCGTCAAAGTGGATTTAGCTCCTTTCTTAATTTAGCTCTTCATGTAATGACATAATGAAAAACAAATGGCACATGTCAAAGAAATCAAGACCTGTTCCACTGACATACCGTATATCAAATTCTTAAAAGCATCCACTAAAGCATGGGCCCCATGTATTTTCAATATCAATGTCATGCACTATTGGAGTGAGACACAATAGCTCAGTGGTAGGGAATTAGTCTCGTTACCGGCAGGTCCTGGGTTTGAAACCGATTTGATGTGCTAGTGTCCTTTGGTAAGGCATTGACCCTCATTACCAAGTCCTTTGGAGAGGACTTCAAGCCATCCGTCCCCTGGTTGCTTACTTTAATGCGAGCATACACATGCTTTCTTAGCAGTCAGACAATCCAACCAAGTACTATTCATTTTTCAGAATGCATCTGGGAGAAATTAAGGAATTCAGGTATAACAACCAAAAAGGCAGAACTTCACAAGGTCATTTTCTAATGATATCTATATAAAATTGTAAATGAATACCTTTGAAGGTACATTAATGATGATGACACTTCACTAGATCTGATTTAAAAAAAAAAGGAAATTAAGAAGCCTTGAGATGATTTTTCTCACCTCACTCTCATATTTCTTAGCCAATGCCTTATAATCTGCGTTGAGGTATACATAGCGATCTCCGACATCCTGCCTCTCCTTGTCAATCTCATCAAAATGGCCTCTGATCTGGCGGTAATCCCTCAGGAGTCGATCCCTCTCAGACTCGGCTTGGATCATACGGTTCTCTAGGGCTAACACCTACAGATCATTACAAAATAAGGTGGAATTTGGAGAAAATGTATGTAAGTTACAGGACTAGTTGCATGAGCAAGATGCTAACAAAATTAATTAGAGTTAATTAATCAATTCGAGTTGTAAATTTACGTTTGAATAATTACCTGAAAGTTCATATTACTTTCTTATTTTTTATCAGATTTCTTTTGTTCTCTGATTTTACTAAACCCAGCTTGATACCAGTGCGGACTTCCCCTTTAAGCCATGACATGTTTTCTCTCTGTCTTTTTCTCATGTGTTCTCTTTGTATTAGATCTTGGGATGATTTCCCTCGGTTACCCTTCCTCATTACTTCCTCATCTTCCTGCCTTCACCCAATTTCCATTATGATTCCTTTTTGCATTCTCTACTTTTGAAGAAAATATCCTCCCCCCCCCCGCCACCCCCTCCAATTTGTTTATACCAACCGAACTACATTTTCACTCCCTCTCTCTCTCTCTCTCTCTCCTCCCACATGTTCTTATCCCCATTCTGCTTCCCCATCTCCTTGCCTTCACCCAATTTACATTTTGATTTTTTTTCTCGCATTTTCTATTTTCAAAGCAAATGACCTCCTCTTTACCAATTTATCTCTTTCTAACAATTTGTTTATGCCAACCAAACCTATCTCTACTACATTTTCACCCCACGTTCTTACCCAATTCTGCTTTCTATCTTTCTGGGTAAACTGTCTTACCTTGTTTTTTAGTTCAAAGTTCTCTTGGGCTCCTCTCTCTTTCAGTTTGTTATTTTCAATGCGCAGATCTACAAGCATCTTGGACAGCTGGAAGTGTGAAAAAAATGAAACACAAAATGTATTAAAAAATACATGTATAAAAACCTAATAGGTGGTATTGTTTCTCTTGTGAAAAGCAGAACACTTTTACGGTATACAATATTGTAATACTGAAAGTTATCCAAAGAGTAACATAAATATGTATTTTTTCCTGCACATATTTGCCATGTGCATTCTCCGCAAATATATACATGTGTACTATCATTATCATTAGTATTTATCCTTCTGCAAGAATTAGATTACCAATAGAAAACCAGAAAGCACCCTTTTTTTTAAATCTCACCTTGAGTTTCTCTTCTTCACTGCCAATCAGTCTAGATGATAAATCAGTCTTAGCTGAGGCAATGTCTCCAAACCTGCTCTGGATCTGATCCAGTCTACGCCTTAAGTAGTCGTTCTCCTCCTTCAGTTTCAACTATGATTCAAAGAAAGTAAAATATTCATTCACAAATAGAGTATAATTTTAACTAATACACATGCAGAGGTGTTATTGTCTGGATACATCAACGGACTGTGAATCGCATGGTTTGCAGTTCAATTCAGTTTGTGTTCTGTTCTATACATTTTGAAAATGTTTTTTTCTTTTCTTCTATTTTGTTTAAATCAATGCAATAAACGTCAACTTGAACTAAAATGATTGCACAGAGTGTCTTTTTCAAAATTATTTGATACTATAAGTATTTATGGTTTTGTTTCCAAATTTAATGAAATTTCCAAGAGTAAATTGTAACATGACCTAGGACATATTCAGCAAAGAATACATAGTGTTATTCTCATTACATACAATTTCATTGGTTTATGTCTTGAGTTTAACTTACATTGTCTCTAGCCAACTTGGCTTGGTCCTCTGTCACATCATCTCTAGCTGGTTCCGTTGTCATGGTAACACCAAGCTGACCCTGGAGGCTGATGAGCCTTGCATGGTATTGGGTGATGAGGGCCTAGCAAAGACAGATGAGTGATGAGAAGATTTATCTTTTAGGAATCCACATAATTATAATACATGTAATAATATAGTATTAATGACTGCTTTGAGAGAAATAGTTGTTTTTAAACGCTCAAGGGAAGGTTAGAATTGTGCTATATATTGTGCAATAGCCCAATTGTAACCTTCCCGAGAGCGTATAAAAACAACTATTTCTCGAATATTAAAGCAGTCATTTATACTTTTATATGCCAAAAAAAAATAAAATAAAAAATAAACTAGATGGAATTCGACTGCGCGCAGTCGAAAATGATGCCTCCGTCATAGAGCAATTTTACAAACCGAAACGGAAGAAATTTTTCAAATTCAAGTTCAATTGTAATCCATTAACATGTTCTCAGAATATCGTGATTACAAGCAATTTCTCTTATATACATATATGACCCTTTGATCTTTGACCTCATGACCCTAAAATCTACTCAGTTCATTGGCTCTGCAAGATTTCCTGAGTTAAATAGTAATTCATCTGTCAGTTCTAATGAGAATGCGTCCACAAGCTATTTTTGCATACATAATGAGCCCATGACCTTTGATCTTATGAACCATTCATTGGCTCTGCAAGATACATAAATGATCTAAGTTTGGCAGGAATCCATCAATCTGTTCTAATGATAATACGATCACAAGCTATTTTTGCATACATAATGAGCCGCATGACCTTGACCTTTACCTCATGACCCCAAAATCTAATCAGTTCATCAGCTCTGCAAGTAACATACATGACCTAAGTTTGGCAGGAATCCATCAATCGGTTCTTGAGATAAGGCGATCACGAGCTGTTTTTGCATACACAATGTGCGCTGTGACCTTTGACCTCGTGACCCCAAAATCTAATCAGTTCATTGGCTTTGCAAGATACATACATGACCAAAGTTTGGCAGGAATCCATCAATCGGTTCTTCAGATAACGCGATCACAAGCTGTTTTTGCATACATAATGAGTCCTGTGACCTTTGACCTCGTGACCCCAAAATCTAATCAGTTCATCAGCTCTGCAAGATACATACATGACCAAAGTTTGGCAGGAATCCATCAATCGGTTGTTCAGATAACGCGATCACAAACTGTTTTTGCATACATAATGAGCCCTGTGACCTTTGACCTTTGACCTACGTGCTCCAAAATCTAATCAGATTGTTTTCCTATTGTGATACACACTATCACTAAGTTTGAAGTTTAAATCTCCAGTGGTTCTTGAGATATCATGATAACAATCTCAATGTATGGAATTTCATAAGTTGACCTCTGTGACCCTTGACCTTTGACATACGTGCTCCAAAATCTAATCAGATTGTTTACCTATAGTGATACACACTATCACTCAGTTTGAAGTTTAAATCTCCCGTGGTTCTTGAGATATCATGATAACAATCTCAATGTATGGAATTTCATAAGTTGACCTCTGTGACCCTTGACCTTTGACATACGTGCTCCAAAATCTAATCAGATCGTCTTCCTATGGTGATACATACTATCCTTAAGTTTGAAGTTTAAATCTCAAATGGTTCTTGAGATATCGCGCTAACAAACTCAATACAAGGAATTTCATAAGTTGACCTCTGTGACCTGTGACCTTTGACCTACGTACTCCAAAATCTAATCAGATCGTCTTCCTATGGTGATAAATACTATTCCCGAGTCTTAAGTTTAAATCTTAAATGGTTCTTGAGATATTGTGATAATGGTCAAACGGGACGTACGGACGGACGGACGTACGGACGGACAACCCGAAAACATGATGCCTCCGGCACCACCTTCGGTGGCGGAGGCATAAAAATTAAAAAAACTTTTGTCAATGATGGGATTTGATCTCTTGCGTACAGAAGGTGATGTAACTAAAATCACCACCTTAAACCGCTCGGCCATCGCGCTCTGTTACCTTACTGAGCAGTTTTCTCTAATATATACATTAAAATGGATTGAAAACGGCTTCGCGTGGTGGATGCTTCATTAAACGGGCCCTTCTTTTACTTTTGCAATGCATATTGGCACGAATTTAGATCAAGATCTATTGGCAGATGTTGTTTTTTTTGTTTTTGGAAGTTTATTTTCGTCTTCATGTCAACAATCCCCAACAAAAAATCCCCAACAAAATCCCCAACAATATCAAAAACAGCTCAACTCTTTCCAGATTTAAAAAGCTAAGCAGGGAAATCTTACCTTCTTTATAAAATATTCTTGATATTCTTGTTCGCTTTCATTTGTACTGCCCTCTTATACATGTAGATACAGTTTTTTGTTGCTACTGCAGAAGTGTACTTCTCTTTTTTTTTTTTTTTTTCTTCTTTATATTAATGTTCGATGTTGATATTTTTTTAGTATAATTAATGTTGATCTTTTTATGTATTGGTGGCCCCTTTTTATAAGCTCTGCTCTCTCCGGGGTCACCAAACCATCATCGCGTTATTCTAAATCTTGATGTAACTTATTTTGATTGTATATATATTTTGATGGTTGAACAATAAATGAAATTGAAATTGAAATTGAAAAAATTGAATTGAAATTGAATTGAATTGAACAATGCAAGACAAAAATTGTCGGTAAGATCGATCGAGATTCAATTGTATTGAAATTACCGACCAATTCTTTGCACACTTACGGTATCCTCGATCGCTCAGACCATTTTTTAACATGTAAACCTATGGGGTAACCATGGAGACTGAACTATTTTCCCGGTAACCATGGTTACTGGGATTTTAGAACTGTTTTAACCATGGTTACTGGGAAATTTACAGAAATAGTTAAAGTTTATGAATGCAATTTCGACCAATCAGATGGCTGGATTTCTTAAGTGAGGTATATAATAATATCTAAAATTTATATAGCGCTGGTATACACATACAGTTTCTAAATGCTTTACAAAACATATATGTAATGAGCATGAACAAGAAACGTGAAATGAACATTGTGCTTAATTTAGACGAAACAAACGCTCTCACTTAACTAACAGTGTATTAACAGTAACATGACAATGAAAATAAAAATACAATAAGTAACATAAATGAAACTGCAATAATTTGTTTTACATCATGTTTTAGATGATGTCAGGATATCACATATGTTAACAACAGTTACCATAACATTCTGTCTTTACAATACAGTATGAAACAATGTTTCCATGTTTTGTAAATCATGTTCCTGGTTTCAGCCCGGGCAGTTATTTTTATTGCAAAATGCTGTACAAGAAATAAAGAACTTCTAGGTACCTTGGATGGCTATTGTTGATTTGAAATAAAAAAAGAATCAGCACATGATTATGCTGACAAAGTTTCACAAGTTCTTCCATAAGCTTTGGTCTTAGGGACCAGTCGAGGCTTCATCTTTCTATGTCCTGTGAGGGCCATCATACCATATACCGGTATCTAAAAGTGGTGTAAGATCTGAATGCCCAAGAGGTGTCTCCAGGCCTTCCACCCTTTATTTGTGGGGGCGTACATGTATGTACCCAACATGATAGCTTCGCTGGAGGGGGAGGAGTATCTTTACATCATGTTTTAGATGTTGTCAGGATATCACATTTAAAGCCTGTCTGCACTAGTTTGGCCACGGGGATTATACCTTCCTGCAAGGTCACTGACGGGTGGCTATCTCATCAAATCAGCTCTCAATCAACATTAAAAAAAGGGGACCATGGGGGACCAACAGGCACTGATTAGGCATTGTTTGCTATATGGAGGGCGCAAGTAGCTATAAGTAGTGCAGTGGGGCTTTAAATAGCATGAAGCTCATAAATAAAAAGCAAGACATGGCCTTACTCTAGCAGCCATGTCATTCATGATGAAGAAGTTGTTGATCCTAGATAGTTGAGCTGATACAATGAGAGATGTCTTCAGGTGCAGAGGTTGAGGGTTTGGACTGAAGTGCATGATAGCCTTGGTCTTACAGTTGCCTCCAATAGCATTCTCTAGAAGACTGGTCACTTTAGACTCACTAAAGGAGAGAAAGCATAGAGACTGTCACAAAGGAGGTCAGGACAAGTCATAAACTCAGGGCTCTATACACATGCTCCTACTACCAAATTATCAACTTTAAATAATGAAATGTATACAAAATGCACATTTTCCTCTATTGCTCCTCGCCTGTGGAATTTCCGGCACCCATTTATTTGTGAAATTGACAACCTGGACCACTTCAAAGCTTAACTCAAAACTCACATCTTCCTTCAAGCATGTAAATGCTAACTTTATCGCAGGAGCTTGCACCTTTTAATGTTTTTCTAAACAGATAAATGGCGCCATACAAATGCTGTGAATCATCATCATCATCAAATTAATGTTATTAAAATTTGGAAAGCCATAGTGGACCAGCTTAATGCCATATTTGGATATAAACCATAAAATTTGATAAATACTAGAGATGAGAATTTTTTTCAAACTCTGAGCAAGCATAAAATGCATCTTTTGGGATTTAATACAATGTAAATGTGCACAACAAACATTAATGAAAGCAAAGATAATCAGAGTTTGTATATTTTGCACTTTCAACATATAGCTCATCTATAATCCTGCATGTTTCACCAACAACGGAGGACAGCTCTATCAAAATAAGATAAAATAGGTAGACAAGAAAAAATAGGATTTTCTACACCTACCGGTATGCCAAAGCAGAAGATTGCATCATCTACATATGATAGACAATTGAAATAATCGTCCAGACTATTCACCAAGTTCGAAATATACATGTACAGGTAACGGCCCTTTGACGTATTTTTACTCTAGGTTATAGATGCTACTTTGTCTAGACTTTCTGATCCTGCATCTACAAGCTCTAAAAAGGGAGTTGTTGCTACAATTACCTGTAATTAATAACTCTATCAGGACTCTGCCTGGTAGAGAGGTTGCTGATCAGCTGACCGAACGATGAGATAGATCTGTTCTGGACAGCTCCCTCTTTCTTGCGAAGCTCCTGCTGGTTTAAGGCCAGCTTCTCAATGCCAGGCAGCTCTACAAACAGGAACCTGGACTCGTGAGGATACCCAAACTCTTCTTTCTCCTAAGAAGTACATGTACAGTTGTATTACAGTTTGATTTTCAATTTAAATAAAATAATAATAATAACTACATTTATAGGGCACTTTATAAAGGTGTTTCTAAGCACACATGTGGTGCTGTCTAACTTAATTATAATTATAATTATTCAAAATGTTCAATAGCTTCAAAGCAACAAAATAAAATAAAATATTACCAATACAATACACTTCAGTTGAATGGAATTAACTACTTGTGTGCGCTTCCAGTATACTATAACTGATTAAAAAGGTGGTTTTTAGAAGGGTTTTGAATGATTCAATGTATGGGGCATTAAAATAAATAAATAAAATAGTAGAACTCTAACTTATTGCTAAATGAAATCAAAATAAATTTCTGATAACTTGTCTGCATAACGTAAAAGGAACACGCAGGAAATGATAATATAAATGAGTAGGACTTTATATTTAAGAATAAAAAAGACTCACCATTTTTAGTGTGACCTCAACGAAGAGAGTAGCTTTGGCCTGGATACGTCCATAGTCTGTTGATGCCTGGGTCCTCTCGTTCAATCCTCGGCTCAACTCGGACAGTGCATCACTCTCAGTTCTCAGTGTAGACTGAGTCAATTCCTACAGACAATATCAGTACCGGTAATAAGAGGGGGAAATTTTTTTTTTATTTGTTTGGAATATCTATTCAACTGCACATAGCAATGAAATGGGTACAACAGCAGAAACCAAACAGAAATGAAAGAAAATATATTTAATTGATAAAGAGTGTGATACATGTACATGTATATTTAGTGGTAACTTTAAATTATATCCAGGCATGTACTTTTTTGAAAATGCTTCTTTGATGACTTTATACCCCATGTACAACTATCAATTTTGATTAGCTTATTGAAAAATACAAATTTCTCATTTAATACAAAGCTGACTGTTTGACTGAGTTTAAATATATTTTTCTTCTGATTTGCCTGGTGAAAGAAACATGCACGGTTAGACTTCTTATAATAATGAATTAAAGAAAAAACAAGATGAATAGGACTACGTCTCTAATATGCCTCTGCCTATGTGAACCGGTATGTTCATTAATAAATTATCTTGTGATAACATCACATCTCACGGACCCAAATGCTTCTAATTTCATATTTAGTGGTTTTAAATACTTGATTACACTTTGGTCTAAATAGGGTCAAGGTATTGGAAACACCATAGTAATAAGACATTTTCTGTGATTTTTCACACTTTTATGACCCTAAGAACTTTCACCTTTGTCCTCTAACACCCACAAATCTAATCACATCATCCTTTTATGCTCAAACATACTTCATGCAAAAATTGTCCAGGGGCCCATTTCTCGAAACCGTCTTAAGTCTAACTTCTTGGACATCCCATTGACACGTGTTATAAAATTAGCACCCGTATCTATGGGATGCCTACGAACTTGGAGTTATGACGGTTTTGAGAAACTGGCCCCAGATTCTGAACCTGTTTCCTTTACCTTGACATGAACCCATTTCTTTGCATTGACCGTCAGCTCACTAGGTCCTCCTCCGTTGGGTGTTCCTTCCGTCGGCTTGAGAAGATCTCTCACAATCTCATTGTATACCTCATACATGCTGAGAGTAACTTGGCCATTCATAAGGCTATCATTCCTGCTAGCTGAAAATATATATGTAATCATATGATAATTATAGTTAGACATGTATTCATCATCATTACTGGAAAATAAAATCATAATATGCAATTACCAAGATGTTAGGCATCACGTTTTATAAGACTGTGATGTGATCCAAGTTTTTCTCCATCTAGCATGCAGCATGTTAGCTTGGTATATTTGCTAAGTGTACCTGAACAATATTATAAACTGCAACTGTCAAGTTGACAAGTTAAGAAAGGCATGGTTTAAATTTCATATTGACTAGGTCGAGAGAAATTATGCACTCTCTATTTGTCAAACTGTGATTAATGTCATTGCTTCACATTTTGTCATTAAATGTCTAATTCTGCAGTAATGGTTACTACCATGTACCTAAGATAGTCCCCTAAATCCATTGCGAGCAGGCACCTGCATTATGCTGTGGCAATTTAGAGTCAATGGATTAAAGTGAGAGGGACATATTTCTGAAACAAAATACTGGATTTAGCTCATGTTGCAATCAAAGCTATACACCGATCGCCTGTCTGATTATCACGATATTTATGATTGGAAATCAAAAATTGAAATTTCATTTTTCGTTTTCCTAACGGTGTTGATAACACTTGTCTATTGGGGGAAATGAGTATGGTATAACCGGTCACTCAATTTTTAATTTTTTTTTTGAGGCACTTCATGATCGTTTTGAAGCGCAATTTTTTTTAGGGCTCCAATATTACACCATATCACAGACACCGATAACACGTAGGGCCATGCATCTCAGATTTAACATTGTTAAACGATGCTCTTAACAGACCACATAAGGAACACAGACTTGTTAAACTCAAGTGGATCTATACTAACCCCTCTCTCTGGTGTCCCCTAATTGATCAAAGACCCCCCTCACAGCCATGTGGACCACGCCCAGTCTCGACTTCCCATCACCAAGAAGGGTGTGGCTCTTCCCAGATCCGCTCTCTCCGATGCTCAGCAAACTACAGTTGAAGCCCGCCACCATGAGATCAACCATAGAAGACACCGATTCTTGGTAGATTGTATCAGTGGTGCTGTCATCATCAAAGATGGCATGGAATCTACATATAGTAGAAGTTAGACATTGATATGTAATTGAGAGAGTAAATGGTTGTACATGTAAAAGGACAAGTTGATCTTAGTTATGTACAATGTAATACATGTAGATAGGCCCTTGATAAAAAAAATCATTTGAAAAGTAAAAAAAGGATGAACGAAAAAGTTTTCAACACTTGGGAACAACATTTCAGGATCTGAGCCAAGTTGTTACAAATATTTAGAATATTGACAGACGGCCTACTTATGCACATAAAGTCTCATTAAAAATATGTTGTTTTGAAATTTTCAACTTGTTAATTCATGTATGTTTCTTTTTCATGATACATTGAATTTTAGACCAAGACAACCATAACTAATATGCATAACCTTTTTTTTTAAACCACCTACAAAAAACCTGCCAAGAACAAAATACAAAAAAAATACTTACGTATGCGAGGCATTTGTCTCATCTTGCTTGATTTTGCTTCCTTGGATTTTAAGATTGTGTGCACCCTCTCCTCTCTGTGGCGGACGAATTCTAGCGAGCACATCGATATTCATCTTCTCTGGCTGCCTTGGTAGTGCATTGGATCAATGTAATGGTCTTTTTACTGTCACTGATTGAATGTGAAACATGAAATATGTCATATTATTAATTATGTAATAGTCAAACCTGTCTACAGCGACCACCCAAGGGAAACACAAAAAGTGGCCTTTGTAGACAGGTGGTCTTTGTAGACAGGATCCTTTAGTACATGATTCAATGAGAAACCATTTTCAAGGGAAACAACAAATGTTGCCTTTGTAGACAGGTGGTCTTTGTAGACTGGTGGTCACTAAAGCAGGTTTGACTGTACCGTGAAAAGTGTCAAAGATCAGGGTCCCTGTTTCTCAAAACAGTCATGAATCAAACTTCTTGACTAAATCAGCACCTACTACATGTATTTACTAAGCTACTTGTCCGCTACATGTTTCACAAAAGTCTTCTTTGTGAAGATCAAGAACAACACCCTAAGGCTTAAGTAGGTTCGACGGCTCTGACCCCGTTATTCAATGTGCAGTGCCATCAATGATGTATGTCATTGATTGAATAGACCATGGCTGGCAAAAATGGAACATACCGGTACACAATTCAGAAATCCTCCAGCTCTCTTACTGCACATTCACTTGAATTATCTAAACTAAAAACTTTTAGTTTTAGATTTTTGAACATTTCATGAAAAAATATCACTTATCAGGCTTTCTCCAGTCTTAACTAAATTTAATTTACGGTAGGTCTAGGCCTAGACCTACATGTTTATTTAATAATAATTTATAATAATAATAATTTAAGATTTGTATAGCGCACATATCTGCCTATAATGGCACTCAAGGCGCACAAAAAGATTCACTATTAACATTTCAAATACAAACAATGAACAAATTGAAATTAACAAATAAAAAACAAATGCAAATTACGGATTCAGTAAGACTAAGACATTGAAATTGAGAGTTAATCATATTTTTCCTTCATAAGGTAGGTCTTTAGATGCTTGTGGAATAGTTCTATTTACACATTATCAATTGGACCCCTAGGCTAGACTAGATCTACACAAGATAAACTTAATAAATCGACAAACAACACTACAGACTACAAACAGTTCACCACTCATCATCATCATCGCGACATGTCAATTGTCATTAGACTAATTATGATTCTCAATCATGGTCTTGATGGTCACATCAAGCAATTGAAGAAGAAAAAAAAGCATGTTGAGAACTAGTGGAAGCAATATCTATGCTGAGGTTAGATTTTTTGCCAAATTTAGGGATCCTAGCTGGCCTGGTCTACCGTTCGTCCGTCCAAGCAATCCCGCGGACCTGAGCCGAGCTGAGCTAACGCCAGCCACGCGTGACGATCGACGATGGCAGGGCACCACCACACCGACGGGACAGCTCAGGCATATCGAATGGCAGTCTTCCGTAGCTTTGTCTGCGGGTCTGATTTGAAGGCTGAAGCAGTGACGTTGACCCGAGATCTGCAGCTTGTTTATGGAGAGTGATTATACTTAAAAGATCTATAATTGTATGAATCTCATATTAACGTGATACGGTACAACCTAGTGGTACATGAAATATCAACAAGATAATAAATCAGAGCAAACCCACTTACAAAAATACAAGTCTTTGCTCACCAAATCGATTTATTGATTTGCGTCCCGTTGTCATGTATGGTGTCTTTCAAAACCGCGCTCATAGAACAACAGAAAGGAAACACTTTCCCGGTCAAGCAGTATAATCAGGGAGAGTTGGTATAAGTATGAGTATCATGACAGTCATTAAAGAGCAACAAAAGTTTAGCTTATTTCCTATTCTCTCATTTAAGCTAGCATCATGCCAAATATCGGCACAAGCCATCACTCCACTGCTAAATAATCTTTCAATCTTCAAATCACGCATCAAGCGACAATATAAAATATGTATCTATGTTTAACCCTTACCTTATGGGATATTGAAAAGAAAAATGTACGGTCAGGATATTAGTTTCTGATCCAAAATTCATTTTAAAAATCTCTCTAATTCGACCCTTAAACTAGCAAATTATAAAGAGAAAGATGGGAGTAGTCCATACTGTGAATCTCATACAAAAATTAAAAATAAAAACATATCAAATATTGACCAATAAAGGGCAAAATACAATTTTTGATATGAATCTGATATATTGTATACGCACTCTCTGAAGCAATTCACAAGATGAAAAGTGTTTTGGAAGAGAGAGAGAGAGAGAGAGAGAGAGAGAGAGAGAGAGAGAGAGAGAGAGAGAGAGAGAGAGAGAGAGTGAATTCCTGTTGTGAAGTATCCAAATAAGGAAATATCGTATTGAAATAGGATATAGGATAATTAGGATTATAAAAGAGCATTAATTATTTTGGCGAATCTCAAAATATGCCATGAACTTGAAGAAGAAAAAAAAGCCATACTTATAAAAAGTAATGTAGAGGGAGAAGACAATCTGACATACAGTATTCAATGAAGCTAAGTAGTATTAGCCATCAAACCTAGATCTGAAGAATAATACAAGAGAGAAAATATCATTTAAAAAAAATTAATTTAATTGATTATTAAACCAATTAGTTATTATCTTCCTCGAAGAAAAATATAAAGCCGATTGTTATTGCTGTGAATATGATACACATTAATTCAACACGTCCACACACAAACGGCTTATGTTCAAAAATATCATTGTGATAAGAAATATCCAATACACATGGAGAATATGATAACAAGTTGGAACATTATTTTAGCCTATAATAAAATCAAGGAATATATGCCCTTTTCATTTTCGTTATTCAAGAGGAAGAAATAAAAAGGGTCTGCATTGTTCCCGGTGCACAAAACTTACAAAAACATGCATACATTTTCCCTTCTATTTATCATATTTTTTCTCTATTTTATAGAGATATATATCATATATCTAGGGACACATTTCTTGTATTTCATGACTAAATGAAATGTGTCGGGGAGTAGTGAGCACTGTTTTTTTTTTTTTTTGGGGGGGGGGGCCGGAAATTTGAAAATCGTGCCAAGCATAGTAGTATACATACAATGAAAAAAGAGTATGTGACTGGGCGTGCCGTTCACCTACAGTTTAAGGGGCAGGGCCCAGTCGGGTCACTATCTCCCAGTCAGAACCTAATAGACCAATCCCTAACATAAATACGATTAAAAATAAGTATATGACTGGGCGTGCCGTTCACCTGAAGTGTAAGGGGCAGGGCCCGGTAGGCGCATCATTCACAGGTCACCACATCCCAGTCAGAATTAATACACTAAGCCCTAACATAATATAATACATACAATAATTAAAAAAAAAATGAACTCAGTGGCTGGGCGTGCCGTCCTCCTACAATTTAAGGGGCAGGGCCCGGTAGACTCATCATTCACAGGTCACCACCTCCGAGTCAGAATTAATACACTAAGCCCTAACATAATATAATACATACAATAATTATAAAAAAAAAAAGGAACTGGCTGGGCGTGCCGTTCTACAATTTAAGGGGCAGGGCCCGGTAGGCTTATCATTCACAGGTCATGATTTCCCAGTCAGAATTAATACACTAAGCCCTATAACATAATATAATACATTACATACAATAATTTAAAAAAAATGAACTCAGTGGCTGGGCGTGCCGTTCTCCTACAATTTAAGGGGCAGGGCCCGGTAGGCTCATCATTCACAGCTCACCACCTCCCAGTCAGAATTAATACACTAAGCCCTAACATAATATAATACATACAATAATTTAAAAAAAAAGGAACTGGCTGGGCGTGCCGTTCTCCTACAATTTAAGGGGCAGGGCCCGGCAGGCTCATCATTCACAGGTCACCATCTCCCAGTCAGAAATGAATACCCTAATTCCAAACATATTATAATACATACAATAATTTTAAAAAAAGGAACTGGCTGGGCGTGCCGTTCTCCTACAATTTAAGGGGCAGGGCCCGGTAGGCTCATCATTCACAGGTCACCATCTCCCAGTCAGAATTAATACACTAAGTCCTAAAATATAAAACATACAATAATTTAATAAAAAAATGAACTGATTGGGCGTGCCGTTCTCCTACAATTCAAGGGGCAGGGCCCGGTAGGCTCATCATTCACAGGTCACCATTTCCCAGTCAGAATTAATACACTAAGTCCTAACATAATATCATACATACAATAATTTATTAAAACATGAAATGACTGGGCGTGCCGTTCTCCTACAATTTAAGGGGCAGGGCCCGGTAGGCTCATCATTCACAGGTCACCATCTCCCAGTCAGAATTAATACACTAAGTCCTAACATACTATAAAACATACAATAATTTATTAAAAATGAACTGAAAGGCGTGCCGTTCTCCTACAATTTAAGGGGCAGGGCCCGGTAGGCGCATCATTCACAGGTCACCATCTCCCAGTCAGAAATGAATACCCTAATTCCTAACATAATATAATACATACAATAATTTATTAAAAAATGAACTGACTGGGCGTGCCGTTCACCTGAAGTGTAAGGGTCAAGGCCCGGTAGGCTCATCATTCACAGGTCACCATCTCCCAGTCAGAATCTTAACATAATATATACATACAATTAAAAAAAAAGAAACTGACTGGGCGTGCCGTTCACCTGAAGTTTAAGGGGCAGGGCCCGGTAGGCTCATAATTCACAGGTCACCACATCCCAGTCAGAATTAATACACTAAGCCCTAACATAATATAATACATACAATAATTTTTAAAAAATGAACTGGCTGGGCGTGCCGTTCTCTTACAATTTAAGGGGCAGGGCCCAGTAGGCTCATCATTCACAGGTCACCATCTCCCAGTCAGAATCTTATACATTAAGCCCTATAACATAATATATACATACAAATTTTTAAAAAAAAGCATATGACTGGGCGTGCCGTTCGCCTACAATTTAAGGGGCAGGACCCAGTAGGCTCATCATTCACAGGTCACCATCTCCCAGTCAGAATTAATACACTAAGTCCTAACATAATATAATACAAACAATAATTTATTAAAAAATGAACTGAAAGGCGTGCCGTTCTCCTACAATTTAAGGGGCAGGGCCCGGTAGGCGCATCATTCACAGGTCACCATCTCCCAGTCAGAAATTCATACCATAAGTCCTAACATAATAAATACATACAATAATTTATTAAAACATGAAATGACTGGGCGTGCCGTTCTCCTACAATTTAAGGGGCAGGGCCCGGTAGGCTCATCATTCACAGGTCACCATCTCTCAGTCAGAATTAATACACTAAGTCCTAACATAATATAATACATACAATAATTTATTAAAACATAAAATGACTGGGCGTGCCGTTCTCCTACAATTTAAGGGACAGGGCCCGGTAGGCTGATCATTCACAGGTCACCATCTCCCAGTCAGAATTAATACACTAAGTCCTAACATAATATAAAACATACAATAATTTATTAAAAATGAACTGAAAGGCGTGCCGTTCTCCTACAATTTAAGGGGCAGGGCCCGGTAGGCGCATCATTCACAGGTCACCATCTCCCAGTCAGAAATGAATACCCTAATTCCTAACATAATATAATACATACAATAATTTATTAAAAAATGAACTGACTGGGCGTGCCGTTCACCTGAAGTGTAAGGGTCAAGGCCCGGTAGGCTCATCATTCACAGGTCACCATCTCCCAGTCAGAAATGAATACCCTAATTCCTAACATAATATAATACATACAATAATTTATTAAAAATGAACTGACTGGGCGTGCCGTTCACCTGAAGTGTAAGGGTCAAGGCCCGGTAGGCTCATCATTCACAGGTCACCATCTCCCAGTCAGAATCTTAACATAATATATACATACAATTAAAAAAAAAGAAACTGACTGGGCGTGCCGTTCACCTAAAGTTTAAGGGGCAGGGCCCGGTAGGCTCATCATTCACAGGTCACCACATCCCAGTCAGAATTAATACACTAAGCCCTAACATAATATAATACATACAATAATTTTGAAAAAATTAACTGGCTGGGCGTGCCGTTCTCCTACAATTTAAGGGGCAGGGCCCAGTAGGCTCATCATTCACAGGTCACCATCTCCCAGTCAGAATCTTATACATTAAGCCCTTACATAATATATACATACAATTTAAAAAAAAGTATATGACTGGGCGTGCCGTTCGCCTACAATTTAAGGGGCAGGACCCAGTAGGCTCATCATTCACAGGTCACCATCTCCCAGTCAGAATTAATACACTAAGTCCTAACATAATATAAAACATACAATAATTTATTAAAAATGAACTGAAAGGCGTGCCGTTCTCCTACAATTCAAGGGGCAGGGCCCGGTAGGCTCATCATTCACAGGTCACCATCTCCCAGTCAGAAATGAATACCCTAATTCCTAACATAATATAATACATACAATAATTTATTAAAAAATGAACTGACTGGGCGTGCCGTTCACCTGAAGTGTAAGGATCAAGGCCCGGTAGGCTCATCATTCACAGGTCACCATCTCCCAGTCAGAATCTTAACATAATATATACATACAATTAAAAATAAGAAACTGACTGGGCGTGCCGTTCACCTGAAGTGTAAGGGTCAAGGCCCGGTAGGCTCATCATTCACAGGTCACCATCTCCCAGTCAGAATCTTAACATAATATATACATACAATTAAAAAAAAAGAAACTGACTGGGCGTGCCGTTCACCTGAAGTTTAAGGGGCAGGGCCCGGTAGGCGCATCATTCACAGGTCACCATCTCCCAGTCAGAATTAATACACTAAGCCCTAACATAATATAATACATACAATAATTTTAAAAAAATGAACTGGCTGGGCGTGCCGTTCTCCTACAATTTAAGGGGCAGGGCCCAGTAGGCTCATCATTCACAGGTCACCATCTCCCAGTCAGAATCTTATACATTAAGC